ATTTGGATATAACCCGAGGTCCTCAGATAAGCACTCCCGAAATCATTTAGAACGTGAACCCGAAATATGTAATCGAAACGAGCAGCCGAAAACCTTCCGAAATCATCTTTCGCAATTCAGATTTCGGTAAGAAGTCCCGAAATCCTAAGTTCTATAGCGGGCCTGAATTCTGCTTTGAGGAGTCAAGGCCGAAATCTGGATTTGACACACGTATTCGAACAGTTCTCACCTCAAAATCATTCAACAGTCAAGTTTGCGTGTCGAAATAAAAAAAGGACAAAATTGTCTTTTGAGACCAGCTAAATTTTCCGGCATTCGTGTCCGCAGGTCACCCGCGCAAGGGGTGCGAATTTTCGATTTTGAACTGGAAGCCGACAACCCATGTGCGCGAGAGCTCCCCTCTTCTCATTCTCACTTTGATAATAAGGAAGGAGTGTTCCATATATATAGACTCAAAAGTTTCCAAAGAGTTTAGGTGTGGGATAAGTTATCAAGCTTACTTTTTCCTACACTTGGAGACGTACATTAAAAAAAACTCCCACTTCAAGAGCTAATTTTGAGCCCAATTTGATTTTTGACCTCAAATCTTCAACACCAAAGTTTAACACTACAGTCAAAGCTTCCAAGAGTTAACCTTGAGATTCAAAAAAAAATTAAATCTCAAGGTTAAAGACTACTTTTTCCTCACAAAGCTCAAAGATGGTCAAAGTTATTTTCTAAAGGATCCCTCTTCAACGATCATCAATGAGTTCCTACTCCAATTCATCCATGCTCTCAAGCAACGGATCAGCCACAATATCTGACAAGCTCAAGGTAAGTACTTCTTATTCCAATAAAATAAAGGAACTTGAAGATAGATTTGCTAATAATCAAAAGTGTCTAGAACGACATTTGATAGAAGGAGCTCATCAAAATGTTCGCTTAAAAGACTCACACGATAGAGTCACTAGTTTAGAATTTGAAGTGAGTAAACTTAAGCAAATTGTCTGTGACTTAACTAAGGAACTAGAAGAAAACAAACAAAAACGTTCTGAAGTTGTTACACGTTTTGAAATGCTTAATATGGAACGAGGTCGCCTTTACTCTAAAATTAAGGAGTTAGAGGATATTCTTGCCAAGAGAGGTCAATCAGAACAAACTGTTTTTCTGTTGAACAATATATCAAAGGACACTGAATTTTATAATCCTAGAGAAGGACTAGGTTTTCAAAACCTTGAGAATTTGAAAAAAGTAGATTGCCGTCAATTGTACGACATTAAGTACATGAAGTTAGGGTTAACTAAACTGATGAAATTCACTGGTGCTTCTGAAACTATTGAGGAAGAAGAGGACAAAAGGAGGTATTGGTTCTACCAAGGCCTCCCTTCAACTTTATTTGCCAAAGCTTGCACCCTGTGTTTTACTCCACTTTGATACCTTATTTATCCTTGGTATATATTCTGATCAATTATATACATGTTGAGTATTGACTCACCTTACCTGGCTTTGGCTCCTTCAGCTATCCGCTGCAGTACCTTGTTTGTCTTGCATCACCCGTGAGCCTTTTTGTCTTTGCACTCACCCGTGACTTCTTCCTGTGAGAGTAGCCTACGTGAGAATTCCAGAGAGAGCAGACTCCCTTCTTCTCCTTTCTTTTGTGTGAGAGTGTGAGAGAGGTTCTTAGTGGTGAGATGGAAACATAGAGAGGTGGAGTATCCTTCCCTAGTGTGGTGTATGTGAGTTAGAGTGGTTAGAGACCTGAGCAGAGACGGAATATATTCCTAACAGAGTGTTAGGTATTCTCCCTCAATTATCCAAGTGCATCCTCACTCTCTAACGTATCCTCTAAATAATTGAGCTTGTTGTTTCATGATTGGCTGCATTAGGTGAAGGATTAAATCGGTCACTTTGAAAATAGAATAGAAATTTAATGTACTAAACTGATAGTGAGACTGCATTGTAGAAGAAAAAACGAGGGATAAAAATAACAATTTTCCCGAGCTATTAATGATTGCATCTATTGTGAGATGATCGAAGACGTGGAATAGATTCATAAGGTTTTAGATGACATCTATAATTAATTCATTTATGGGTTTTTTTGGAAAATAGCTGATATGCCAATTTTTTGCTTCTTTGATTGCAATTAATGATTTTGACTACCTAAACGGTTAAAATTATTGTTTGGTAATGGTAAATGGTTGATGAGTTAGCTTATTAGACCCTAACAGCAAAATATTGAAACGCTAGGGTGGGCAGCATTTAGAAATGAAACTTTCCTTCTCTTCCTTTCATACCTTCCATATTTTACACTTCATATACAGTGCATTATTATCTTCCATCTCCTTGATTGTATATGTGTGTGTTTGGCAATTCTTTGACTACAACATTGCTTGATGCAATTGTAAAACAAAATGAGTTCATTTAGGGGAGAGGCAATGTAAGAGAATCTTCATGTTAGAATCACTAATACAGTCACTCACTCAAAGTCTCAAATTAAGAATTCATATATAGACTTTAGGCAACAGTTTTGCAGAAGCCTTCTATGAAATAGTATAAGATTCTCCATTTTGTGCAATAACTTGGAGAGAAGTGCGGTAGCAGAAGGCTATTTAGAAGTGGAAATGGGGACTTATTGATGTGGCTTTTTCAATTCACATAGTTGTAATGTAGTTTAAGCCTCTCTCCTAGGCGACTTGCAAATTGCAATGGCCATAATATTTTTAGCTGTTCAACACAAAAACCACAGCACAAATATGAAACAAACAAGTTATTTATTGCGGGGATCAATTTACTTTCCTTCCAATTTCCTGGGAGAGAAATTAGATGAAAGGGAATGAGGGTACTTAAAAGGACTCCTCCTAGATGAAATTATACACTCCTTAATTGTTATTTCAATGTTTTGTTTTATTACATTTTATTAAAGATCAACCAGCCCCCTATTTCCAGCTTCTGTGTAGTCTCTACCAGAGTAGCTCAGGTTGAGTAGCACAGGAACACATGTAGTGATCCCTCCTCCTTAACTCTGTAATATGAACGCCCCCAGTATGAAGAAGAAATTAGACTAGTAAATGCATTCTCTTGATTCTCTAGATGGAAACAAACCCCAGCCATCTTTTGTTTTTCAAGCTAGAGGAGCTTCTTAGAACTTATCATGGTATTAAATAAGCAAATAGAAACACACACACACACAGAGAGAGAGAGAGAGAGAGAGAGAGATTGTATTGAAGATCACAAAATCTGCAGAAAACTCAGACAAGTCTTGGTTTGACGGATTTGTAGTGTTTGATCATCAATTTAAACTGCTTGATGTTCTTGAGTAAATCAGACAAGGCAAAACCCATGTTCCACAAAGATAAATTACATTCACATGGTTTGTCTGTTACCAAATCATCCGATTGATCCGAACAAATGGATCAGTGACATCTGGCAGAAGATTGAGCTTTGAACCATGTAGGGAATTATGTCCGGCCAGTGACAACTCTTTAATTACAGAATTGTTTGTACATTTCTGGATGACTTTTGAAAGACAAAACCATGTGCAAATGTGTCCCAGTCCTGCTAGCTGGCTACCCCGACTCAAAACTCTCCTACCCATTAGTTCCACCACCTAAAGGATCTATATAAACACATTTCCTCAGTTGGTATTCACAACAAACTCAACTACATCCTCCACAGAGGTCTCTCTTTCTTGAATCAACACTTCCTCTAATTCCTAGAGACATTTGAATATGGCAATCAGTATGGGACACATCCTCCGTGGTAAACAAGGCCTCAGAAGGTCTTCTTCAAGAACAAACAGAGATAGTGAGGTTCCCAAGGGTCACTTTGCAGTTTATGTAGGCGAGAGCGAGAAAAAACGCTTTGTCATTCCGGTTGCATACTTGAAAGACAACTCATTCCAAGAATTGCTAAGTCAAGCTGAAGAAGAATTCGGGTTTGATCATCCAACGGGTGGACTTACAATACCTTGTCCGGAGGACACCTTCATTGACATCATCTCTAGTATGCGTCGATCTTGATAGGCTACATGCCTACATGCAGCGTAGTTTATAGCCAGTAGAACCGATTTTGATTAGAAAAGTATACTTGTACATTTTGTTTGCTCCTGGTCAGACTCAGAAATATAATGTTAAAAATTTTATCATCGACCTTGTCATAATTTCTTACTCATCCTGCAACTATATGAAAATGGAAGTCTAATTATTTCAGATCATTCAATGTTTTTTATTCAAACAAGTCTAAGAGTTGTCAAATAATCTTATTCTCAATATAAGATAGCGGAACAAGGAACTGCTCCTAATTAGTAGTATATATAGAAATACGACCCTTACATGAACAAGGACTGTTCAAGAAGTATTCTAACCATTTACTAGTCCATTCTTGAAAATCATTCTGCTGAGGACAGCCAGTTTCTGCTAGCTTTCAGCTAGCTTGATGAATGGAACGTTACTGCACTCTAGATAGGTACAAAATCTGTTAAATTGCAGATTTTAATGATGAAAATGCACATGGAAGGGCCCCTTTAGGGTTATGAGGTTAAGACCATGTTTAAAGAATATCCCTCTCAGAGTCTCAGTGGTGTGTTTGGTTTAGCTTCAACCACGTTGCCCCAGTTCCATGGAGCATTTCAAATTGAATTATAGAAGGCCAAATCATGTCCTACATAAATGAAATGAGGAAACGCATTCACATGATTTTGTTTCCTAATAAATACCTCTTTTTTCACTGACTGATTCATCTTCATCTCTCATTTGGTAGACTTTTCATGAGTAGTTGAGCTTTCACAATTTGATTGAATGAAGTGGGGAATGATGTCCTTTACCTACAAGGCAGTTGGTAGACATTATTGATGCTTTTTGGAAGAACAAAGCATGTGGTGATGACAGGAGTGGTTGAGCTATCCTAATTTCATGTCCTGCAAGCTGGATGCCCTTCCAAGCCAAACTTCTCTAACTTCCTAAAGGACCATATCTATATAAACACATTCCAGTTAATATTCTACCCACTCAACTCAAGGTTTTCTAGCTTCATACAAACAGAGCTTTTGCCTTCAATTAAAACTTCCTACAAAAATATGGCAATCAGTATGGGACACATCCTCCGTGGTAAACAAGGCCTCAGAAGGTCCTCTTCAAGAACAAACAGAGAGAGTGAGGTTCCTAAGGGTCACTTTGCAGTTTATGTAGGCAAGAGCGAGAAGAAGCGCTTTGTCATTCCAGTTTCATACTTGAAAGACAACTCATTCCAAGAATTGCTAAGTCAAGCTGAAGAAGAGTTTGGCTTTGATCATCCCATGGGTGGACTCACAATACCTTGTCCGGAGGATACCTTCATCGACATCATATCTAGTATGAGTAGATCTTGATAGACTTTAGACAACATCGTAGGTTATATAGTTAGTCAGTAGAACAATTTTGGAGAGCGAATTACTCTTGTACATAATTCTATGTCTTTTTTCGGGAATTTTTCCTCTTGATATTGGAACATACATTTTTATTTTATCAGCACTTTTTCATTCATTACTTATCCTCAACCCCTTCAAGTTGTAGAACAAGAAGTCTAGTTATTCAATATATCTCCAAAGCTAAGGAAACTAAGATTCAGCAGCAGTAAAATTAAAGCATTTCATATCTGTGTCTCTAGGTTCTGAAATATTAAAACAATACTGCAAATCTGCAATTTTAAACTACCTGAAATGAAGACTTGAAGACTTCTGTGGAAATTTAGGGAAGATTCTTCAATTTATTACTATCCTTGTTCATGCATATTTATCAGCGACAAGTGCTTAAGCATTGATATATGCTGTATACCTAACAAAATAGGACGAACGCAATCAAGTAACTTTCATTAAAGATCTCAGAACAATTTAATGAAGATGAACCAGCAGATAAAGCTTTATGTTTTCGTAACAAGAAGACAATCGAATTCTATGGTCACTGGATGTAAGCAAATCAAGAATCAACTATAAGATGAATTCTAAGTAGTTGAAACTAGAAAGTTGAAGTTCGAGTTAAATCTGAATTTAAAAAAAGAACAATATTTGACAGCAAACTAGAAATATAATTCTTCCGTAGATCAAGGAAACTGAAATGGGAGATGCTTTCCAAAGTTGTCTATAAACACCAGTATTCATAATCATTACGAATTACAATGTATGTGTTTAGTAGAACAAAAATTAAGGACGGAGAGTTAATAATTTATGTGTGACACCAGTATTCCTCTACAGACCACAGTTATGCACAACTAGGAACTCACTATTATTATAAGGCATAATGCTTTTTGTTCATTGTTTTAAAACATAACAACAATATAAGCAGTAAATAACAATAAACGCCTCTATGCAGATAACAAAATGTCAAAATGTATTAACTAAGAGTCTTGTTCCCTCATTTACAGATTACAACAAAAAAACTGATTCTAATATCAGATTTTTGAACATGAATCAACAAGAACTGCACTTCTACTTTCTCTGCATGCCTGTTTTTTCGGATCTGGAACCTTCCGGTCTGCCAGCCTTAGCATATATCTGCAGTTCCTAGTTTCTCCACCTTATCTTACTTTGGTCCACCGAAAATGATAAACACCCTGGTATGATGAAACTCGATAAGATAAACTCGGAGTTGTAGATGCATTCCTTGTTATACGGATGGAAACAAGCTTCTGCCATCTTATCAGTAAAGAAAGAGATTGAAGGCTACACTTTTGTATTTACCATCTTATCAGTTATTATATCCATATAAAGTTATATGCAATAAACAAGTGAGTACATATTTTAGATCAGAATGTAGTTTAAAGAGAAAATATTTATGATTTAAGACTATTTCAATTCTTTCAGACTACTGTTTAGTTTATCTAGACAAGCCATAGTGAAACATATGAATATAACTATTGCCTAAACCGGTAATCTGCAGTCATATTTTATACAGAAAATGGGATGACATTTTTTTGTATTTCAAATCTGCAACATGGATTATGTATACTATAGTGCAATTGGATCTGTTTAACATTCATTATTCTATTGCAAACATCTTCATATACAATAAGCTTTTAAATACAGATCAAACTGTAAATGAATGAGAAAGCTATTAATGAGTTCATATCAAAATAATGCTCAGTATATTCAGCTCAAATATTACAGAAAGTGAATGGTGCATTTTTTTAGTATAGGACAGAAATATATATACAATCTAATCGTCACAAACTGAATAAGACAATAATCTCATTGTTGAGATAAGAAAGAGGCACAAGAAACCGCTTCTTGTCTGCCGTATAGATAGAAATCGACCCTTGCTCACTGAGGACGAAGACAGGGGCGGAGATAGGGGGTGCCCAGGCTAGGCCCTGGCCCACTCCAAATTTAAAAAATGCCAATATTTTTAAGGTATGAACTTGGAAGAAAGAGAACAATTGAAAGGGAGAGCAGAAAATCAGTAGAAATTTTAGGTGTTGGTTGGATCGAGTTATATAAAACATTTTCTATAAGAGAAATACATATGGAAGTTATCTATTCAAAGTTTTTTTGAGAAAAATGCATGTCCCCCACCCCACCCCACCCCATCCCTATGGCTATCCCCAAGCCAAATCAGTTGTAATTGAAGTCAAAACCATGTTCCACATAAATGAGGAATCACATTCACATGGTTTTGCTTCCAAATAATGCGATTCATCCAAACAGACGGATGAACATGTGCAAATGTGTCCTAGTCATGCGAGCTGGCTGCCCACCCACCCTTGAACTCTTTAAGCCACTTATTCAACCTACTAAGGGTCTATTTAAACACACTTCTTCAGTTGGTATTCACAACACATTCAACTACATCCTACACAAAGATCTTAATTTCTTGAATTAGCACTGCCTATACTTTGAAAAGAAACATTTTGACCATGGCAATTAGTATGGGGCACATTCTTGGTGGTAAACAAGGTCTCAGAAGGTCCTCTTCAAGAACAAACAGAGACAATGAGGTTCCTAAGGGTCACTTTGCAGTTTATGTAGGCGAGAGCGAAAAGAAGCGCTTTGTCATTCCAATTTCATACTTGAAGGAGCATTCATTTCAAGACTTGCTTACTCAAGCTGAAGAAGAATTTGGGTTTGATCATCCAACGGGTGGACTTACGATACCTTGTCCTGAGGACACTTTCCTTGACATCATCTCTAGTGTGACTAGATCTTGATAGACTACATTCAGTTTAGTTTATAGCCAATAGAAATTTTTTGAAGAGAAAAGTATACTTGTACATTGTTTTGTTTTCCAGATCAGATTGAGAAATATAATCCTTCAACTTTAATCAAGAGTCATGTATCAATTATACGGTATTGCTTATCGTGAACCTATAAGTGGTATTAAACGAAGTCTAACTATTCCAGATCTTCCAAAGCTTACGGAAACTAAGGTTTAACAGTAAAATTACATCATTATCCAACCCCAATGATCTTTATGCAAAAGTTCCAGACCACAAATTAAAACATGTTGCGCTTAAAATTGGTTATTCACTTACGATGGAGCGTGGCGACGAGTATAACCATTGTGGAGGGTTTTTTGCTGGGTTGATGAACTACAGAAAGTGGGAACTGGGAAGCCTTGCAATCGACGACGGTGGAAAATTAATGAAGGGAAATAATGTTTGGGGGAAGAGGACGCAATTGTGATGGCTCATGGCAGGAAAAAATAGAGTGAAATGGCTTCAGGGCCATGAAAAGAGACAAAGGTGGGTACCCATTTTTAAATCTAAATTGAAAATGATATACTTATTTGGACTAATTAAGTGAATGATATGTACAATACCCCATATTTTCAATGGGTATCGGAGTACTAACCTAAATCTAATATACACAAAGTCGGAAATATTGAATAATAAAGGGAGAATTCCCTAGACATGAGTAAAAAGGTTTTTAAATTCTAAAATAGGAGTATCATGTTTTTTATTTCTTGAATAGGAGTAAATTTCTGCTTACTTTAGTACTTTGGCATTAGGCTTTAAAACATGTCGTTTTTTTCCAAACTTGCCAGATTACTTCTATTCAGGAAAAAAAAAACATGATACTTCTATTTTGGAATTTCAAAACGTTTTGGCTCCTATTTAGAGCAATTTCTAAATAACAAAGCAATAACATGCGGATAGAAATGCATGGTGGGTCCCATAATATAAAAAACCTCTTTTTCTTTAAAAGTGTTATAATTTTTTCATTATTGTTCCAATTTCTTCAAAAAATATATCAAAATTTATAATTTTTTACGATCTTTCATATGACATCAATATTATCTATATTTTTTAGGATCCATTTTTTTTGTTAACCTGAAAATTTTGACACTTCTCTTTTAAGTAATAAATTTGTGGTTTAACCTATTTTGATCTTCTCTACACAAACATCAATTACACATTATTGAAAATTTCGTTTTTCTCTAAAATGTTGTAACATTTTCATTATTCCAATTTTTACAAAAATATACTCTCTCCGTCCCATTTAAATCTTTACACTTTCCTTTTTGGGATGTCTCATTTACTCCTTTATGTATGCTTTTTTAGGCAACGTCTTTTACAATAAATGTCCTAACTACCCTTCACCACCCACTCACTTCTTACATTTGAATGGATATCATTAAATCCCCGCAAAGGTCAAAGGGCATGCAAGAATTTTCTCTCTCATATGTAGTGTTTTTTGGTTTAAAATAAGTGAACTAATAAATGAGCGAGATAATTTTCTATCTCATACGTAATAATTTTAGGTATAAGAAGAGAAGATAAATGGGCTAATATTTAAACGGGGAAAACTTCCTCCTCTTATGTGTAGTTGCTTTAGGTAAACTACATAAGTGGACTAATAATTATGGGGGGTATTTTCTCTTACATATTTAGTCCTTTTAGGTATAAGATCAAAGATAAACAAACTAATAATTGACCCGTCGAATTTTGTCACTCATATGTAGTGCGCACTACAAGATAAAGCATGATTTTAGGTACAAGATAAACGGACTCATAATTGAGCGAAAAAATTGTCTCTCATATGCGGTGCTTTTAGGTATAGTAATATAAGTGCACTAATAATTGAGCTGGAAAATTTTATCTCTCATATATATTGCTTTTAGTTATATAAGAAGATAAACGGTCTAATAATTAAGCATGGAATTTTTTATCTCATACTTAGTGTTTTAGGTATATAAGATAAGCAGACTAATAATTGAGCGGAAGAATTTTCTCTCTCATATGTAGTGTGTTTAGGTATAATAATAATAACAAGATATATGGACTAATAATTGAGCGAGAGAATTTAAACTCTCATACGTAATGCTTTTGGGGTCAAAGATAACAAGATAAATGGACTAATAATTGAGCGCGAGAATTTCCTCTCTCATACGTAGTGCTTTTAGGTATAATAATAATAATAATAATAATAATAATGATAATGATAATGATAATGATAATGATAATGATAATGATAATGATAATGATAATGATAATGATAATGATAATGATAATGATAATGATAATGATAATGATAATGATAATGATAATGATAATGATAATGATAA